AGGGATTTTTCACTTGAAGACAATTGCGCAACCTCGACGGGAACTTAATCATTTGTCATCCTGTTCGGCACGGGATTTAAAAAAAAAAATGCGATGAAATAAACACACAGAGTCGTTTCCTACTTCGAGCATCAATTGTATAGTTATTCAGATTTTATTTTAAAATTCGAAGCCGATACTTAACGCGAAGGGTAAAGGAGCTCACTTCCAAAGTCTTTACTTTAGTATTAAAGGTTGCCCTTTTAATCGTACTAGCTGAGGGAGCGCTTTCCTTTTCGGCTGTGCGACAAAATAAATCAGACGAGCTCCGTAAACCCAACAATGAATTCAACGGCGCGGAAATTATGCAGAATAATGACGTGAGAACTGAATGTTTTATTTTAACGGGGCTTTTTAGTCATGTCAGGACAAAATGGCAGAAAGGAGCCGCTTTACTTATTAAGTTTTTGTAAACGTGCCTTAATAAATCGAAAGTTCTCATGTATTGTGTCATGGCATGATTATTACCATTGCATCTTCGGGATTTTGTTCAAGGCAATGCTTTCTTTCTGAACACACCGGGCTCATTGTCATTATTTTTTAATCGACGAATACAAAAATGAGTTTGGCTCGGAGTTCTTTCACTTTCATGCACACCGGCTCTGCCAAACATATGACGCAATGCGCAGAATGGACATAAGCCACTCACACCCTTATCTTTCTCGTTTCCTCAATACCGATTTTGAATCTACAGTTGACGAAACCGACCCAATCGACCTAGATCCCGTTTGTTGCCTTCTGGCAGGAAACATATTATTTCCGGCGACGATTCACGCTTCGAGCATCTCGGCAGTCCTATTCCGGCGCGATTCCAAAATTCTTTCCGTTACGTGCATCGCCTTTCCTTTATAAAAAAAAACACAAAAATTTGGGGAAATTCTCAAATTCCAGCGATTTTCGGTCCGTCAAGCTCAGAGCAGCAAATGGTTGAATTTATTGAGGATCACGGTCGAAACGACGCAGTCCAGATTGAACGAGACTCGCGTCCTGGATTCCGTCCATTTCGTCTATACAGTATAAGATTCCGATTCTTCCAAATGAAACATTTTTCGTAGCAGTCGTAGTCGTCGGAAGGAGATGGGGGAGGAGGAGCAAGAAACGTTTTTCAAGTCCCGGACTTCCGGATTCTCGCACGTGTGACGACGAATTTCGTACCGAGGCAAAACGCGACAAAAATCAGGCTACGGTCCAGATTCCAAACCTAGCTCCAACATTTTCGACACTTCGCGAAAAGAACCGCCGTGCTCATTTCAACGGTATGTGAATTCCGGACCTGCGGCTTCCTCGGGAAAAATTCACGAAGAAAAAAACAAAAAGCTTCGTGGATTGAGAAATAAATGCTTCATCAACGGGCATGTGGCGCCTCTATCCAGTTCAGAACCGACCTAATAGACTTGAGAAATAATGCCGACACGAATTAAAATGATACATTTTAAGTCAATTTCATGCTTAGGTTATTCCGTGGAATTCGGTTAGAAAAACTCTTTCCAGCTTAACACACATTTATGTAAACGCTCCGGAAGCTATTTGAGTTGAAAGCGTTCAAAAATAAAAATTTTCTCAAGTTTCGATGGTTGGGCATAAGTTTCCTTCCAACTGAGGTATTCTCGACTGTGAGAGTATGATGTAAATTCTTCATGAAGATCGAAGTTGATCAAAGGGACAAAAAATCATGACGAATCAGTGGAAAACCATGGTACATTATGACAATCCGAATCAGATGCATATCACAGAAGATCCGAACAAAGGTTCAAATCCAATGAAAATAAATTTGGCCAATAAAACATTTCTTCTGTAGAATTCAAAAAAATACTCAGACTTATACTTCCTAGAAAGAAGCCCTACATATCAAACCCAACTTTCAAAAGCAACTTTGTATTCAGATCCATTGAACAGTAAGAAATTCATAAATACAAGCGCCGATAATAGTCGAAGCGGTTTTGCTATTACAGTACTGTACTGGTACAAAAACCTCTCAGAAAAAAATTCGAACTTCTAAAACTGTTTCGAAAAACATTGAACATGCACGCAGTGAACAATTGATTCACTCGTAAGCTTGGCCCAGTTTTGGATGAAGAAATTCTCTATTCACAATTTCACATCTCAAATATACAGAACAATGCCTTTCAAAATTTGTTGCCACATAAATCACACAAATGCTCCGAAGAAAATGAAAAACACGCATGGCATCCTCATAATTTTTCGAAACCATTCTCCAATTAAAAATAATATCGATATGAAGATCGAAGTTGATCAAAGGGACAAAAAATCATGACGAATCAGTGGAAAACCATGGTACATTATGACAATCCGAATCAGATGCATATCACAGAAGATCCGAACAAAGGTTCAAATCCAATGAAGATAAATTTGGCCAACAAAACATTTCTTCTTTAGAATTAAAAAAAAATACTCAGACTTTTACTTCCTAGAAAGAAGCCCTACATATCAACCCCAACTTTCAAAAGCAACTTTGTATTCAGATCCATTGAACAGTAAGAAATGCATAAATACAAGCACCGATAATAGTCGAAGCGGTTTTGCTATCACAGTACTGTACTGGTACAAAAACTTCTCAGAAAAAAATTCAAGCTTCTAAAACTGTTTCGAAAAACATTGAACATGCACGCAGTGAACAATTGATTCACTCGTAAGCTTGGCCCAGTTTTGGATGAAGAAATTCTCTATTCACAATTTCACATCTCAAATACTGTATACAGAACAATGCCTTTCAAAATTTGTTGCCACATAAATCACACAAATGCTCCGAAGAAAATGAAAAACACGCATGGCATCCTCATAATTTTTCGAAACCATTCTCCAATTAAAAATAATATCGACGGAAAAAGTAATTCGGCACCAAAAGAGCTTTTCAAAATGAAATTTGAACAACAACAAAAAAAACAGAAAGGCGTTTTCAAATTTCCGTTGAAGGATGCATTAAATTCTTCTCAAGCTACAGCACGTCATTCGATTGTGATCACGTTTCCTGTTTTCTTATAAATTATAGTCTCCACATGAGAGCTACTCCACTTCTTCCCACGATTAGCAAGAAAGAGACGAGAACAATCGGATTTCAAAGACTCCTCCAGGCAGTTGAGAAAGAAAGCCGACTTTTTTCTCTTTCCATCATGCTTTTTTCTGGACCGAGAAAACCATCCCGACGATGATAAACAAGAAAAACCTGCGCTCGCACGAATCATTCGCAGCCAGATTAGTTTCTCGTGAGAAGTGCTCCATTCCTAGATAAGGAGAATATTTTCTGTCTTCGTTATTCCATCTTCCGGGGGGCACAATGATAATATTCCCTCGATCCTTTATATTTCATTTGAGTAAGGCGACAAATTCTCCGAACTACCGTACTATCTCGCAGGATCAGGAGTACTGATTACATTTAAACGGGATCCAGCTTCATCGCTAACGCATTTCAATAAAATTCGCGAGAGATTTCGAGAAAAGCTCTCACTTGGTTGACGGCAACGTTTGAAAAGGTACGCATTTCGAGACAACAACAAAATTAAAAATATATCTCTTCAGCTGTACAGTAAAGTTATTGTCAAAACGCCGCTTGCGTGAAGCTGCGCTCTCGGATTTAAAAAATACCACTGGAATCTTGAAGAAAGCAAAAAATTCCATTGCTTCGCACACATTTTACTCCGTGAACAACACATTTCTTCATGGAACTGAACGAGTTTGAAATAAATCAGTTTCCGTCGAAAAAAGAAAAGCAGGGGAAATGTACCAAGATGAATCTTGTACTTGGACTATGCTGCAGTGGCCCAATAATATCGTGCACTATGAAGAATTCCCAAAGTATCCCAAGAATGTCCGATGACGAGGAAATGACAATCCACGTCAACATTCATCTGGTGCTTTCCCACAGCGACAAAGCTTCTTCAGGCTTGGAAACAATTAGAAATAAAAATATGCGCGAATGATCGCATTTAATCGAATCTAAGACGCACATTTTTCATGAAAACAAGATTTAATGATCAGAATCTTCAATTCGATGATGACTTACACCCGCCGGTGAAGCGCATTGTTCTTTCTGAAATTCTAAAAATTTAAACAACACACGTGTTTTAGCACAGTCTAAATTTCCGTGGAAAAAATACCTCCCACAATTTTTCGTTCAAGGGCACATGCTTGAAATACTGTACTACAAATGTATTCGACGTGTCCAAAGAGATAGAGCTCGTAATTGCTCAAGTAATCACCAGACTCCTTTGCCCCCGAAGAAAATAAATGCCACTAATGAACGTCTTCTATGCGCAAAAGAAAAATGTGTTCAGAATTTTCAAGGCGAGTCTTCGAATCAATGACGTAAGAACTGCACAGTAGTGATTGCAAAAAAAATCCTTAAAAGTTAGCGTGAGTTATGCACCGGGAAACATCCTCTACGAAATTTTAATTCCATGCAGCGGCCAATGGCGGCTCAAGTCATGACTCACGCGCAAGCGGCATTTCAACTTGAGAAGTTTCCCAAGGGAAGGGAGAATTTTAATATAAAAAAAAAAAAAGTCTGCGGCATGCTCCGAGATATTCCAGACATTCGCATTCACAACTACGTGTGGGATCCAAAAAAGAATACCCTCCCGTCGGTACGTTAACGAAGCGACCTTCGAAACATCAATTAATGAATGAAACAGAAACCCGGGGAAGGTATCTTCCCCGGGCCACGCAAATCAATCAGAAGCACGCCTCTCATCAACATTCCCCGTGCGCGCGCGAGCAACACAATCCGTCGGCTCGGCAACCCGGAAGCACAAAAAAACTCCCGAATTCACAATGGCAAAGAAAAAAAAAGAAATGTGACTTAGAAGCGGAGGAGAGGGGGGGAGGGGTTTGGAAAAGACCTTAGAGCTGGAAGTATTTAGAAGAGAGAAAAATAACTAATACGGGAGGGGTCTCGGGGAAGGCGGAGGACGCGCAACTCGGGGAGATAACGAGGTCCGACTTACCCGGGTGTTGATGCACGCCTTGCCCTTGGCGTAGCAACGGTGACTCGCCCGCTTCTCGATCTTCGTCCACAAGCTCTGAGCCTTCCATGACTTTAATTTGCTCTGAGGAGAAGAAGAAAAAAAATGAAGACAGTGAGAAGAGACATTAGGCATCAATCGCCCACTTCCAACATGAAATTCCGATCACACGTAGGAAGGCTTTTCAAGATTTACACCCTGGAATTACTGTACGACGGGCCGTTTCAGCAGGCGTCAATTGGATTTGATTTTGCCTCAACGTGAGAACACTGCGAGGCTAACCAGGGTTCTTTGAAATTTTCAACTCACCTACAGATTTCTATCTAGATGGTGATTCTGACTTTGAGATTTACAGTTCCCTCTTTTCGTATACTTGAAACCTTGACGCATTCTTCACCCGAGGGTACAACAAGGAAAGGCATCAAAGCAGGAAGAACTGTATTAAAAAGCTAAAACCGCAAACAGATTTCAGATTATGTAAGTTGGAATGCATTGGGTTCGCGACTTCTTATTTCCTGATTGGTTCTCGCAAGTACAGTACTATTGTTTCGCGCTTAAAGGAAAAACATTAACTTTTTGAATGACAGTTCTTCGAAACATAAATAGAAAAATACTTTATGCTGAGCCAAACACTGTGAAATTCAATATTAAATAATAATAATCCATGTTTGAGATGAAAAATTGGTTTTACACGTCAATTAAAGAAACGCAACATCATGTACAATGAGTTCAGAGATAAAGACCGATCATCACGATCTCGATGAAGTACACGACCTACTTTGACAATCTGAAATCGACAAAACCCGAGAACAAAAATTTCTGAACAAGTTTCTTTGAACGGACGATTTATATAATTCTGATCATCAGATTCAATGTTGCGGCCAAGTGCGTATGACACACGTAACCATGCTACTTCACTCTAGAAGTGAAATATTTCCACATCATTCTGATTTTCCACATCAAGATTACAAAATTGGCAGGCTCATACAAATCGCCAACCGTTCGTAGTCGGCTGAAAACTTCGCTGAACAGCGGATAAGTTACAATAGCCAGTGAGCATTTATTCCCCATGAAACCAAAACCAATTACGGCTGTCAGGAAAAACCTTGGAACCGTCAACTTCGACGCTCCATAAATTGATCAAGGTTACCTTCGCTTGAACAATGGTTATTACGACACGAAAACTTACTATACAATGCAGCGAAGAGCTTCGGTACATCAACGTTTTTCAACTATCGAAAGCTTCACTGTTCATTAAAGCTATACGTGTAGAACGGACGTAGAATCATGACTGATGACCGTTGGTTTTTTCCCCTTTTTGACTAACGCTTTGTTGATTGACAATGTTCGGGGTTGGAAATTATCAGGGCTCAAAAAACTACAGTACAACCCGCTTTATATGTAGTATTTATTCCTTGAACGTCAAAAGTCCACGGGGATCGAATCTCTTCGGTGATTGAGGTTTTAAAAATATGCAACAGAGACAAGCTTCGATAGAATGAACATTCTTTGTCACTCAGTCGCGTAGGACGAGTATCGATGACAATTTCATCTTTAAAAACCACAAGAAAAGTGTCGCGGAATCCGCGAAAATGTCCTCAAAGTCGAAATGAGGCTACGTCGACCTCCATTTCTGATCGGATGCGTCGACCATTTTTCCAAGAGTCCATCTGCTCGGACACATATGGTCATCAGACCAGTTGAGGAGAGCTTTCAACATGAAATACAATCCCGTTATCCCTTTGCTCAAAAAACTCTTTTGGGTTAGTTATCGTTCTTACTATCGAATCACGCCACTTCGACCTACATTGATGATTAGAATCAAGAGAGTAAAAGGTTTTTAAACGATACGCTGACCGAAAATTGACCAATAGCACTGCTTTGGCATTCCCGGAAGAATGAGCCATAAAACTGAAATAGGATAGAACTTTTTTTTTTAAGTTGAAGCGCAGGAATAGACTAGGTATGATATACACGGTGAAACAAGTTCGACCAGAACCATTCAAGATTTCGTTGCACAAAAAAAAGCTCAGTGAATGAGTACTGTATTATTTAATTGTAAAGGAAAAAATCCCCATCAAAACGACAAATGGACTGGCAGCATCCTCAACAGGGGACATCGATTTTTTTCAACTGTTTTACATATTGAATGGTTCGAGCTATCCTATAGAAATACTGTACGTCATAACAAGTTTAGGCTTCAAACATGACAAAATTTAAGGGTATCTACTCAAAATGTAGGACCATCGCGGTAACGGGAGAAATTAAATCCCTCCAGGAGTTTCTGCGCTTGTCATCTTGCCTTTTGAAGGACGACACGAAGAGGTCCAACTGTTCAGAAAAAAAAAGACGCATTTTCTAATTGAGGGCGTCAAATCATCCTATTCCGAGTGAATACGCGTTCTTAAACGTTCTTCGAGTCTCGGAAAGAACTGAGGAAAGTTGTTGGCGAAACTGAAGTTTCCTGTAGATCTTCTTACTTACCCTCAACAAAAATGCTAGTTTCCCTAACTCAAATTTTGTTAGCTGGTCCCTTGAAGTTAGAATTGACATTAAAAAGGTCCAACATGATACGACTTCACGTAATTCTCCTCACTTTACCCTCAACAAAATACTTGGTTACCTCATTCAAAAACTTCCCAACTCAAATTGTGTACGCTGGTCTCTTGAAGTTCGACTTGAAGAAGTTCAAAACAGTTGATAAAAATAAACGCATTTTACTATCGATGGCGTCGAATCATTCTGTTCAGAGTGTATAGGCGTCAATAAAACGTACCTTGAGTCTCGGAAAGAACTGCGGGAAGTTGGTGGGCCGCAAGCGGAGCTTCTCGCACATCTGTCGAAAGTAGCCGAGCACCGTTTTCTGCGTCTGAGCACTCCAAAACTGGTCGAACAATTGCGCCGCATGCGCCAGGTCCTCGCCGCTGACTTCATAGTGGTCATTCTCCACCATCGCCTCGTCAGCAACGACTGACACTCACTCACTCACACTCGGGGGTTTCCTGTCACACGGGGCTCTTCACACGCGCGACATTTACCGGAAATTTGTTTTCGGTTTCCCCACCCCCCTCGAGTTTTAATCCGTCTCTCGTTAATGATTAAAAAAAGGACACACCAAAAAACACCTGCAGTAGACGGAAGGGAGAAAAAATGAAAACATTATACACACGTACACTGAATCATCTGCAATGGTCAAAACTGAAGCTTGTGATCCGACGAAACAAGGAGTCACGGAGATGGTTCTAAATCTTAACAGACTCGGGGGGAAAAACCTTCAACTCATTAAAAGAAACACACTTTCACGGATAGGAAAAACCTAACGGAATCATGGAAGGTCCATTGCTGCTTTGTTTTACAGTCGAAAGAATGAGAAACCTGAATCCAAAAGTCAAAAGCAATGCAAGAACCTTTTCTTTTCCAATTCAAAAACACTTCGATGCGTTAAGATTGTTATCCCTTTCACATTGTAAGCGGATCAGGCGTGAAATAAATATGTGCAATCGTGCATAAATGATAAGACTGGCCAGGATTAAATAGAGAATATTTTCTTCATCGAAGTATCTGTCAAAGCCCACATTCCGGTTTCCGCGTCCGGATCTTTAAAATCGTTTTCGGATTCAGTTTAATCAAGAAAGTATTTTTCTTATATTTTTTCTGCAAAAAATTCGAAACTCAGCCTTCGCCTGAGAAACATTGATTTCATCCCTCCAAATTGTCGGCGCACTTCGCACTTAATATTACTGACATAAAAATCCCCGCGATGAAATCAAAATGTTCACACTGAAGACTGAACTGAGGTGTATGACCTTGAAAATCGTCATAAAGTAAGGAGTGAAATCAAGTTTTCCGCACGCAGAACATTGAAAACGTTTTCATCTTCGAACTTTTGAAGCATCCCTCGCGGAAACCACATTATGGAGATCGACGCGATAAACGTGGCACCATCGATCAGAACAGGCTGGAAACACCTCCGAACTCGACGAGAATGTCTGAACATTCAGCTTCTCGTCCAGTAATCCATCGATTCACATTTATTTCACTCACTCTCCGACAATTATTTTGCCTTCCGGATGAATTATGTCGCTTCAAGTAATTTTACTGCATAAAAAATCCCGCTTCATTTCTGCGAACCGCGATAAAAAAAAATTCCGCAATTCCTACGCCTTATTTTCATCCCGACAAAAATGATCGAATTCCGAAGATAAACGAATGATTTTCTTTTACAACACGACGAAAATGTTTTAGAATCTGTATTCAGTTCCTGGTCAGATCAATAGAAACATATTCTTTAATCCTCGAAGTGTTCCTTGTTAGCAGATCTAATTTTTCGGTTTCATGCAAGTTTTTAACAGGTGAAGCTTCAATTCTGCGGGTAGCCAAAATAAATCTTCAAAACGTCCCCCACCCCTTATTTTTTCCCGGAGAAAAAAAACGAGATAATATGAATCGAAGGATAACAGAATGCTTTCTATTCCGAACGCAACAAAGAGAATGTTCCGGATCGAACCTCTTGATCAAACCAGAATATAAAGAAACACGGAGCACTTTTATATTCACCGAGATTACGTACGTCATTCAACAAAGGTCCTCTGTTCAATCACACGCACACAAGCCGACAACACGCACCTACGGACTGGAAGAAAAAAAGGAAAGCTTCGACCCGCTTTCTTTCAAGATAATCGCAGAAGTGAGTGATCGCAGGCGCATAGATACGAAGTTCTAGCACACCACCACGTGTTTGCAGCAGACGTACTGTGTTCTTTCCCCAAGGCAAATACTGTACTACACCCCGCGTATGAAGCCAAGGCAGAACTTTTCATCGACTAGAAGGCACGTGTACAATACAGCACAGTACTGTACACTTTAAAGTTTTAAAGGATACTTTTTATGCGCAGGAGGGGCTGAACCACCGCTAGAGAATGACTGACCGATTTTCGAACTTCGTATATTGAAAATTAAAAAGCTGGAAATATAACTTCAAGTTCCAATAATAGCGGAACCGGATTGCGTTTGACTCGCGATTTTTAAATGCAGGAGGTACTAATAAATGGTAAACAATTTCTCAAGCGCACATTGTACACTGAAAAGTAAAAAGCTGGAAATGGCAGTTAAAGTTCTAATACTAGTTGAACTAAATTACGCTTGACTCGTGATTTTTAAATACAGCAGGTACTGGACAATTATCGACGTTTTTCCAACCACACATTGCATACTGAAAAGAAAAAAAAGCGGGAAATGGGATTTGTGTTTAAATACAGTAATAGTTGAACTGGATTGCGTTTGACTCGTGATAAGTATATAATGCGCTATGAACAGTCATAATATGGTCACTACAGTCATTACACTTCTCTTCGCGATAATTTTTTTAATGACATTTCCGATTCACAGTTCGTAACATACAATATTTGGAAAATTCAACTGTCGCTGGGTAAGTCGTAGTAATCATTTAAGAAACGTATCTGAATACTGTAACAGCTTCTCACCAAAATAAAAATGCGTACAGAAGGTCGAATCTTGTTTTTCTCCTAATTCTAATCTTCCTTATTTCTTGTGTACCACGGGTCTCCGGAATTCTCATCTTTCGACACATTCCAATCGTAGTTCGTCATTTTTTTCTAATTAATGTACTGTATATCGGATAAGTTACAAATGAATGTTCTCTTGGTTCATCGGGGAGAAGGTTAGCATTTCAGGAATATTGTGATTGTTTTTCCGAGAAAACACTGATCGTCGCTGAGAAACTGAACATATGTAAACAAAAAAATACATTTTAATCCTGCCATATGTTGGATGACCAACCTTATACGCTAATCCTGTAACAATGGTTCTTACTGCACATTGACGGGTTTTTTTGCGTGTAGATGTCACTGGAGTACACAGTGCATTTTTTTCGAATTTGTCAAGTTATTCTTGCTTGCGTATAATAAGTAGGATACTACGTTTTACTTGGTCAAGGGAATAAAACTAGAATCCTTCATCAACGGAGGGTCAATTTACTTTTAAATTTTCTTGCTTCTTGTCATCACAACGTCTGACAAGCTTGATAGCACAAAAACATATTAATTTTCTCAGGGCATCGTAAATCTTACGGTACTCGTTGAACAGAAAGTTTGATGAATTAAACACCTGAACATTATTCTGGAGATTTCGTCAGACATCAAACAGCTAGATCGATCCTAGAAGGACCAAATCTTTTATGTGGCCAAAGTTTCGCCATAAGCTTCATATTAAAGCATTTCAACAAATGACCTCCGATTTTACACGCATAGTAATTTGAGTGGAAACCAAGTAAGATATGATATTGAAGCTGGTATACACCGCGCGAATATAAATTCAACCGTTGAAAAGCAGTGAAATTTATTTTCAACAGTAAATTTCGAACTTCTGATACGGGAATTTTTCCCGGCGTCTTATCAAGCCCAAATATTTTACGGCCACGCGGCGGAAAATGTGGCTCATGAAATGAACCGAACAAATGCGGTCCCTACTTCCACATTTTTGGGAACGCCAGCCAAACTCGGAAAATTCCCAGAATACCTTTCCACGCCACGCAATTCGAGCTGTCATCAGGACTAAAAGACACGACAACATGAGTAGCCAGTACAGTACTTCAAAGATAATTGATTTTGTTTATATCACTTATTAATGAATAGGCTCGTTTGAATGGGGTACATTGGCAACAGGGACGGCACGGTGTGAACTTTCAGTTCAACCGTCATGCTAGTTTTAAGTATGCTGAAATCCTATAAAATTGCGACACTTCGAAGAAAATCATTCAAACACAATAGGGAAGTACTGTATTCGGAAAAATTGAAAAATCGAATGATTTCCCAAATACTGAGTGGCAAGTGCGGAGGTTAAATGGTTGATTTGACAAAAGGAACGCTATGAAAATACTGTACTCACAAAGTCACAAACCATGTGGAATTTTTTTCAAAAATTTTAGACATCATTTGACAAATTTGTTTGAACAAGGTCACATTTTATTCACCGTAAACTGGAGAATATCGTTGTTGTATTAAATGGGAACCTCTCGAAGGTTCTGTTCAACCCTTTAAAAATAACCATTTAGAGATATTAGGGGATAATTATTCGTCATTCGAGATCCACAAGTTTAGAATAAGAGAATATGATCATGACGCATTCAATAATACGTAGATGATTCCTTTCGAAGAGTGAATTTCGATTAACGCAATCTAAGCAAATTGAAAACCTGATAACACTGAACTTTGGAAAGGAAATTAATTTCCCGGCTGCGCACTTTCAAGACGGCTTGTCATGCTTGCTCTCGCGCTCAAAACTCTCTCATTAAGTTTATAAAATAAACTTCGAACTCACGCAGACACATCTGAAACGTAACCACGTTACGATCGTAGGACGGGAACACACAGCATCAAGACGTGAAAAACGTCATGCTTAAAATCCCTGAGCCGAGTACCGCAGTCGTGACCTCGAATCACACCAAACGTCGTCCCACATGGGGGCTCATCAAAACTAACAGGGTCGAGGTTTAAAGATTAGATGAAATGTGCTATAAAATGCTCAAGACATTCAAAGACACAGAAAAATAAAATGAAAACCCCACGGAAAATATAGCTAGTTCTATTCCTTATACAGTATATGAAGAACTTTAATTATTTTCACGCCGGGCGAGGTGGTTTGGAATGAGACTCCAGGAACGTGTTTCAAAATGGTCAAGAGTTCAACAAAAAAAATCACAGAAGAATAAAATGTTGTACGATGTACAATATATGATAGCTCAAACACAAAGGCCTGAATGTATCCCTCCTCTCTGAAAATTAACCTACATTTCGATGATTAAAATTTGAAAAACGCGCTCATACAAAATACTGATACTGTGCAGTACTGCAGTTTAAAATAAAGCACCATCACAATTTAGCAAGAAACTCCGACGCTAATTGCCGGATTTCTTCCTTTCACAAACGAGTCAACCGAGTCTTCATTGCTATATTTTATTGGGGAGCAAATTACGAGGATCGAGGAATAATGATTTCAGAAATATGTTTTCAAATGTTTACACACATTTCAAAATTCCGAGTCTATCTCAGAGAAAATTGAAGAATTATATGAATACAGAATAATGTATTTAACATTTCCCATTGCAACGG